AAAGCCTCTTTCCTCGCCCGCACCACCCCTCTAGCCCTCCTGCCCGCAGCTGAATGATCCGCGACTAAGGGCGGCTCGAGGGTAGGGAGGGCACACAAAGCGCGACTCGGGCAGGAGTGAAGCGCGCTCCGGGCAGGAAAAAAAAAAAGTATCGTGGTGGGCCCTAGGTAGCGTTCCCACTAGGGAGCCTGCTCGATACCATGACGAGAAACGAGAATGGTTGAACTATGAAAACAGTTGGGTACAAGTGCTAACCCTAATTGGGTTGTACCCCTTATGGGCTACCCCACTACAGTCTACATAAATGTATAAGCTATAATGTTCTGACACATACCATAGGAGGCCCTTTGATTTTTGAGTCGACCCGGAAATCGGCCAGCCCCCCCACCACCGTACCGTAGGAGGCCCTTTGATTTTTGAGTCGACCCGGAAATCGGCCAGCCCCCCCCCCCCCCACCACCGTACCGTAGGAGGCCCTTTGATTTTTGAGTCGACTCGTAAACCGGCCAGCCCCCCCCCCACCACCGTACCGTAGGAGGCCCTTTGATTTTTGAGTCGACCCGAAAACCGGCCAGCCCCCCCCCCCCCCCCCCCCACCACCGTACCATAGGAGGCCCTTTGATTTTCGAGTCGACCCGAAAACCGGCCAGCCCCCCCCCCCCCCCCCACCACCGTACCGTAGGAGGCCCTTTGATTTTCGAGTCGACCCGAAAACCGGCCAGCCCCCCCCCCCCCCCACCACCGTACCGTAGGAGGCCCTTTGATTTTCGAGTCGACCCGAAAACCGGCCAGCCCCCCCCCCCCCCCACCACCGTACCGTAGGAGGCCCTTTGATTTTCGAGTCGACCCGAAAACCGGCCAGCCTCCCCCCCCCCACCACCGTACCGTAGGAGGCCCTTTGATTTTCGAGTCGACCCGAAAACCGGCCAGCTCCCCCCCTCACCACCACCATACCGTAGGAGGCCCTTTGATTTTTGAGTCGACCCGAAAACCGGCCAGCCCCCCCCCCCCACCCACCACCGTACCGTAGGAGGCCCTTTGATTTTCGAGTCAACCCGAAAACCGGCCAGCCCCCCCCCCCCCCCCCCCCCCCCACCACCGTACCGTAGGAGGCCCTTTGATTTTCGAGTCGACCCGAAAACCGGCCAGCCCCCCCCCCCACCACCGTACCATAGGAGGCCCTTTGATTTTCGAGTCGACCCGAAAATCGGCCAGCCTCCCCACCACCATACCATAGGAGTCTCTGCACCCCTAGACTCAGCACCCCCAGTCTCAGCACCCCCAGACTCAGCACCCCCAGACTCGGCACCCGCAGGCTCAACACCTCTAGCAGCACCAGAGTCAACAGCTACCTCGACAGGCTCGACTGCGTCTACCTGGGACACACCTGACGGAGCAGGACCCTGAGGGGGGAGGGGGTCTACAGGGGGAGGACCTGGCGCAAGGATGAGCGGCGGCGGGAGGAGGGGCGCAGTGCGGTAGGGGAAGAGACGGTAGTAAGGCACCGACTCGTCAAAGGTGACGTCCTGAGAGGACAGAACCCGGCGCGAGGTGGGGTGGTAAAACTGCCACCCAGGCGCGTCAGGGAGGAAGCCAAGGAAGACATAGCAAACTGCACGGGGGGACAGCTTGTCCGCAGACAAGTCGCGGACAAACGTCCGAGATCCCCAGACCCGAAACGCAGACGCATCGCCAACCTTCCCGGTCCACCGCAAGGCGGGGGAGGTCTCTGGCAAGGAGACCCGAGGCTGAAGGTTGAGCTGATGCGCGGCGTACTGAACCGCAAACGGCCACAGAAAATGGGGGGCAGCTGCATGCATCATGGACGTACGAGCGACGTCCATGACCATGCCAATGCGGCGCTCAGCAATCCCATTTTGCTGTGGAGAGGCCGGAAGCGTGAAGGTCTGGCGGATGCCCTGTGCACGACAGAAGGCTCCCGGGCGGGCAGAGGAAAACTCCCCGCCTCTGTCCGAGTGCAGACGCAGAATAGGAAAGTCCGAGCCAAAGCTCTCCCGGAGCTGGAGACGAGCTGCACGGATCCAGTCGATCAACACCTCAGTGACGTCACCCTTGCTGCGCAAGGGGAAGACTGTGGTGTAACGCGAGTAGTCGTCAACCACCAGCAGGAAGTACCACACGCGCCCCTGCCCACTAACGCGGGCGGGGCCCCACACGTCCATGTGGAGAGTCTGCAGCGGAGCCTCTGTCGGACGAAACTCGGAGGAGTGGGGGGCGGCAAGCTGTCGCTCCTCGACGCAGGGGACGCAGGTAGGGCTAGGCCCAGGAGGTAGGGGAGGGAGACATCGAGGGAGACCAGATACAAAGACACGGGAGGCCATGCCTCGGAGACGAGGCAGGGAGGGGTGACCAAGGCGGTGGTGCCAAAGGAGAGACTGGTGGGATAATAGACGACAGGAGCAGGGAGCAGACTCAGGACCAGACGTGGACGCTGCAGCAAACACCTGACTCGACGCAGCTACCTGGCCAGACTCAGCAGCCGGAGGAGACTCAGTAGTAAGGGTGTACAGGCTCGACCTTGGCCGACTGGTGAACGTGGCCAAGTGTCGGCTTGTCCAAGCACAAGTGCAGTGGGTAAACCGCTGACTCGCAGGAGTGAACTGGTCAACCCCCCTATCCTGTAGGTCCGCTCCACTCACCAAGTTCGTAGAGAACGAGGGGAGGTAGAGACCTGACAAGGTGCCAGAGGGGGCTGCCGGGCACGGTAAGACAGTGGAGAAGCTAGCAAGGACAGGACCCCCAGAGGGGTCCGCCAGGGAGACTGCAACCGGCCGACTGAGCGGCGTAAGAGTGGTGCGGTCTCGAAAGAAGGAGCGGGACGCACCCGAGTCAAGGGTGAAGGTGTGTAAGGCCTGAGCCGACGTAGTACCTGAGAGCGCAGACTCACCAGCCCCTGGGGCAGCAGACGCACTAGCACCTAGAGCAGCAGCCTCACCAGCACCTGGAGCAGTAGCCTCAAAGCCCGGGTTAGGCGGTACACACAGGTAACAGTCACCCACAACACTATTATCAACAGCATACATGGCAGCAAGAATACATCAAAGTCAAGATCAAAGATAGCAACCCCCGCCCTAGACAGCTCTCCCTAGCAAAGGATCTCAGAGGCCCCAAGGAACTGGTGACGCCACGCGTCCGTCAGGCGGCCGAAGCAGCGCTGGGTGGGGTGCGGGCCCCCGCACTGCTCACCAGTGCGGTCGCCGGTGCGGAGAACGTAGGTGCAGGGACCCGTACCCCCACCGCGCTGACGCGCAGCGTACCACTCACGAAGCTGCTGAGGGGACAGGGTCTTACGACTGCTCTGCTGCTGCTGGCGCGAACCACCACCGGAGCCACCCCTCTGCGCAGAGCCGCGACCAGGTCCACTGCTGCCGCCGCTGCCTCCGCCGCCTCCTCCACCTCCGCCTCCTCCGCCACCTCCGCCGCCTCCGCTCCCTCCGCCACCTCCGCCGCCTCCTCCGCCTCCACTGCTGCCGCCGCCGCCGCCACCCCCGCCACCACTCCCACCACCACCCCCACCCCCTCCACTGCCTCCACCACCACCTCCACCGCCCCCGCAGCCCCTCTAGCGCCCTTGCCCCCTTTGCTCTTGCCGGTGCGGCGTCTCCCGCTCGGGGCAGACGCAGCGCCGAACGACTCGAAACGAACGAGGTCGGCCGCAGCAGCAGAGGCAACAGAGGTCAAGATGGGGGAGGGAGAACACCCATCAAAGACGGGGGTGCGAGGGTCACCACAAGAAGCTCCTACAGCAACTATGCTCTTCTCTATCGCTAGGAGGGCCTTCTTGAGGAGGTCAACGGTGAGAGTGGTGGGGCAAACTGAGAGGAAGTGGTCTCTGACTACGCGGAGAGAGTCAGGGAGCCGGGTGACTATGTAGTAGAGGGTGATGTATATGGGGGGGGGGGTTTTCTGGGCGCAGAACTAAGCAGGAAGCGCAGCGCGGTAGGGAGTGTCATTTGTCAGAACATTATAGCTTATACTTTTGTGTAGGCTGTAGTGGGGTATCCCATAGGGGGTACAACCCAATAAGGGTCAGTACTTGTACCCGCTTCATTCATAGTTCATCCATTCTCTCGTTTCTTCTTATGGTATCGAGCAGGTTCCCTCGTGGGAACAATTCTTAGGGCCCACCAAAATCGAAAAAAAAAAAAAAAAAAAAAAAAAAAAAAAAAATCCTGCCCGAAGCGCGCCTCGCTTAGGCCTCCTTCGGCCCGTCGCGTCGCCCCTAGCGACCTCCCTTCCGCCGCCCTTGCTCGGCCGTCGCCGCCCTTAGCGGCCCGTCGCCACCCTACGCGGCCTGGCACCGCCCTTTCGCCGCCCGTCCCGGCCCGTCGACGCCCGTGCGCCGCCCGTTCCGGCCCCGCGCCGCTGTCCCGGCCCATCGCCGCCCGTGCGCTGCCTGCCTCGGCCCGTCGCCGCCCGTCCCGGCTCGTCGCCGCCCGTGCGCCGCCTGTCCCGGCCCGTCGCCGCCCGTACCGGCCCGTCGCCGCCCTTCGCGGCGTCGCGTGCCGCCCCTACCCGCGGCTCGGCCGCCTTACCTGCGGCCCCGCCACCCTACCCGTGGCTCCGCCGCCTTACCCTACCTGCGGCCCCGCCGCCCTACCTGCGGCCCAGCCGCCTTACCTGTGGCCCCGCCACCTTACCTGCGGTCAGGCCACCCTACCTACGGCCCCGCCGCCTTACTCTCGGCCTCGTCACCTACTGCCGCGCCGCCCTGCAGCAGCACAATCGAGCCGCCCAGCGGCAGAGCAGCCGAGCCGCCTAGCAGCCGAGCCGCCGAGCAGCCCAGAACCCGAGCCGCCCAGCAGCCGAGCCGCCCACCAGCCGAGCCGCCCAGCAGCCGAGCCGCCCAGCAGCAGAGCCGCCGAGCCGCCGAGCCGCCCTACTTCCGGGCCGCCCGAGCTGCCCAGTCTGGTGAGTACAGCGCCTCTTTCACTGCACTGCCCTCACCCTACTATTTGCACTGCTAGTCGTCTGTAGTCATGGCTACCCCTAGTGTCCTCGCCTTTGACGCTGAGGGTCGGGCCATTGACTTTGAGGTCTGGGTAGAGGACCTGCAGCTGTTCTTACAGTGCGATAGAGCAGACAGCCTCTCTCTCTTTGACCTCACCTCTGGAGCTTCCCCTACCCCTGCTGCTGATGCTGACGCCACTGTTCGCTCCCAGTCGGCCACGCGCGACGCTGCTGCACGTCTTGCTGTGCGTCGCCACCTCCCTACCTCCGAGCGTGCGCACTTTAGTCAGTACAAGAGTGCTCAGACCTTGTACGACGCTGTAGTCGCGCGCTACTCCTCCCCTGCCACTGCTGCACTGAGCCGTCTCATGCTACCGTACCTCTTCCCTGACCTTGCTGCCTTTCCCACAGTAGCTAACCTCATTACGCACCTCCGCACTAGTGACACTCGCTACCGCGCTGCACTTCTTGCTCACTTCTCCGCCAAGAACCCCCCCCCCATGTACATCACTCTCTACTACATAGTCACTCGCCTCCCTGCCTCCCTTCGTGTAGTCAGTGACCACTTCCTCTCAGTCTGTCCCACCACTCTCACTGTTGACCTCCTCGAGAAGGCCCTCCTCGCGATAGAGAAGAGCATAGTCGCTGTAGGAGCCTCTCGAGGTGACCCGCGCACCCCCATCTTTGAGGGGTGTTCCCCCTCCCCCCTTCTGCCCTCTGTTGCCTTTGCTGCTGCGGCCGACCTCCTTGGTCTTGATTCGGTCGGTGCGGCGTCTCCCCCTAGACGGAAATGCCGCCCTGGCAAGGGCAAGGGGGGCAGGGGCGCTGGAGGAGCGAGCAGGGGCGGTGGAGGTGGAGGTGGCGGCGGTGGGGGGAGTGGGGGTGGCGGTGGGAGTGGAGGGGTCGGTGGCGGCAGTGGAGGCGGAGGCGGCGGCGCCGGTGGCGGTGGGAGCGGAGGTGGCGGAGGTGGCGGCAGTGGAGGAGGCGGCGGAGGCGGCGGCAGTAGCGGAGGCGGCGGAGGCGGCGGCGGTGGCGGTGGAGCTGGTCGCGGGTCTTCGCAGAGGAGTGGCTCCGGTGGTGGCTCGCGCCAGCAGCAGCAGCGCGGTCGTGAGACCCTGTCCCCTCAGCAGCTCCATGAGTGGTACACTACACGCCAGCGGGGTGGCTTTGGTCCGTGCACCTACGTCCTGCGCACCGGCGACCGTGCGGGTGAGCAGTGTGGGGGTGCGCACCCCACCCAGCGCTGCTTTGGCCGCCTGACGGACGTGTGGCGTCACCAGTTCCCCTTGGCCACAGAGATCCCTCGCTGGGGCGAGCTGTCTAGCGCGGGTGTTGCCATCTATGATCTTGACTTTGATGCTATTCTCTCTGCCATGTATGCTGTGTCTATTAGTGATGAGGGTGACTGTTACCGGTGTTTCCCGCCCGATCCGGGCATTGAGACTGCTGCTCTAGGTACTGGTGCGGCTGCTACCCTAGGTGCTTGCGACGCTGCTGCTCTAGGTGCTAGTGCGTCTGCGTCCTCAGGTACTGGTGAGTCTGCGCTCTCAGGTACTGTGAAGACAGTAGCTAGAACAAGGAGCCATAGCTAGGGTTTACCTAGCTAGGCAAGAGAGAAGTTAGGCAAAAGAGGATTGAACTAGCAAGAATGAGGATACAAATAGCAAACCCTAGAAGGGTTGTACTCGCTATAGAGCACCCCACTACAGGCTAGAACATAAGATAATATTCTGACACACCCCCATAGCCAAAGTGGGGTGTAATCAGCAGAGCAGGCAAAGCAGTACAAGCTCAGGGTGGATCACAATGTCACCACACATTCTGAGCACAAGTTCAAGAAGCAATAGTTTAGAGTTCATAATTATGAGCAAAGCTAGTGGTAGTCACAACGGGCAAGTGAGGAGTAGGAGAGGGAGTAAGGGGAGAGGAGATAGGAGGCGACGGCTGAAGCTGCAGACACACGGGCAACAGGAGGCAGACTGGCACAGCGGCTACCGGACTAAGCGCCCGGACTACAGGAGTAACAGGCCCCGCGGCTAAAGTAGCGGCAGACGAGCAACGGACCCACGGGCGGCTGGCGTAGAAGTCTAGCTCACTGGGCTACCGGGACAGCGCCCCGGACTACAGGTGCTGCGGACAACAGTACGGCAACCTCCATGCAGCTTCCCCAAACAGTCCCACCCCCCCGACACACACCCGCTGCTACACCGCTAGCTCCACTCCCACGCACCCCCTTAAACCCTAAATCCCTGTCTCCCACACAACCACCCCCCTCAGCGACACCTGCAGCAGTGGGAGACGAAGGAGGAGGAGGAGCAAAGGGAGGAATGCACACCGGTCACCCCCATACCCGCCACCCCACAGCTCGCCCCTCCCGTCGTCTGTCGAGGCGACCTGAGGGGGCCGCTTGCGAGGGGAAATGGGGGGAGGGGAGAAAGGGGCCCACCACGGACCTGAGAGAGTCGCAGGTGGGGGCACGGGGCCGGGGCCAGGGTCGCGAGTAGGGCGACGAGGCCGCTGCGGCGGCGACGGGGCCGCTCGGGCGGCGACAGAGCCGCTGCCCGCGGAGACGGGGCCGCGGCGGGTGGGGACGGGGTCGCTGCGGGCGGCGACGGGGCCGCGCGGGCGGCGATGGGGCCGTTGCGGCGGCGACGGGGCCACTCGGGCGGCGAAGGGGCCGTGACGGGTGGGGACGGGGTCGCTGCGGGCGACGACGGGGCCGCACGCGACACCCCAGACCGTCGTAACGGACGGGCGGGGGCCGCGCGCGGCTCCCTTGGGCGACGCGACGGGGCAGCGGGCAGCGCGCCAGAGAAGAAAGGGGCCGCGCGCCCCGTGGCGCGCGACGAGATTGAAAAATGCGTCGCACGCCACAGGGCGTGCGACAGAGCGTGTAGCAGCGGAAGCAGTAGTACCCACAGGCCAAGAGCGTAACCGCTCTGAAACCATGTTAAAGAAACTAATATTCTGACAGGTACTTCATCGGCTTCGGCCTCCCTCACCTTCACCCTTGACTCTGGGGCTTCTCGCTCCTTCTTTCGGGACCGCACCACACTCACGCCGCTTAGTCGGCCGGTTGCGGTGTCTCTGGCTGACCCCTCTGGGGGTCCTGTCCTGTCTCGCTTCTCCACAGTCCTCCCGTGTCCGGCGGCTCCCTCTGGCACCCTGTCTGGTCTCTACCTCCCCTTGTTCTCTACGAACCTGGTGAGTGGTGCTGACCTACAGGATGCGGGAGTACACTTGTTCACTCCTGCGCGTCAGCGGGTGACGCACTGCACAGAGGCTAGCACAGGCCAACACCTGGCTTCGTTTACCCGTCAGCCGTGGTCGAGCCTGTACACAGTGACCACTGCGTCTCCTCCCATTGCTGAGTCTGGTAGGGTAGCTGCGTCGAGCAAGGTGTTTGCTGCAGCGTCCAGGTCTGGTCCTGAGTCTGCCCCCTGTTCGTGTCGTCTCCTGTCTCACGAGACTCTCCTCTGGCACCACCGCCTTGGTCACCCCTCTCTTCTTCGGCTCGGAGGCATGGCCTCCCGTCTTCTTGTGTCTGGTCTCCCCCGGTCCCTCCCTCCCCTTCCTCAGGGCCCTGGCCCTACCTGTGTCCCTTGTGTCGAGGGGCGCCAGCGTGCTGCCCCTCACTCCTCCCAGTTTCCTCCGACAGAGGCCCCGTTGCAGACGCTTCACATGGACGTGTGGGGCCCAGCCCGCGTTCGTGGACAGGGTCACGAGCACTACTTCCTGCTCGTTGTTGACGACTACTCGCGTTACACCGCAGTCTTCCCCTTGCGCAGCAAGGGTGATGTCACTGAGGTGCTGATCGACTGGATCCGCGCAGCTCGTCTCCAGCTCAGGCAGAGCTTTGGCTCGGACTTTCTTGTTCTGCGTCTGCACTCGGACAGAGGCGGAGAGTTCTCCTCTGGCCTTCTGCGAGCCTACTGTCGTGCACAAGGCATCCGTCAGACCTTCACGCTTCTGGACTCTCCGCAGCAAAATGGGATTGCTGAGCGCCGCATTGGCATGGTCATGGACGTCTTCCGTACGTCCATGATGCATGCGGCTGCCCCCCATTTTCTGTGGCCGTTTGCGGTGAGGTACGCGGCGCATCATATCAACCTTCACCCCAGGGTCTCCAGGCCGGAGACCTCCCCAGCCTTGCTAGCCTAACTGTGGACAGGGAAGGTTGGCGATGCGTCGGCGTTCCGGGTCTGGGGATCTCGGGCGTTTGTCCGCGACTTGTCTGCGGACAAGCTGTCCCCTCGTGCTGCTCCGTGCGTCTTCCTGGGGTTCCCCCCTGACGCGCCTGGGTGGCAGTTCTACCACCCCACCTCTCGCCGTGTTCTGTCCTCCGAGGACGTCACGTTCGACGAGTCGGTCCCCTACTACCGCCTCTTCCCCTACCGCACTCCGTCCCTCCCCCCGCCCCTGCTCTTCCTTGTACCAGGTCCCCCCGCGGTAGACCCCCTCCCCCCTCAGGGTCCTGCCCCTTCAGGTGTGTCCCAGGTAGACGCAGTTGAGCCTGTCGAGGTCACTGGTGACTCTGGTGCTGCTAGAGGTGCTGAGCCTGGGGGTGCTGGGCCTGGGGGTGCGGAGCCTAGGGGTGCTGAGCCTGGGGGTGCTGAGCCTGGGGTTACTACGCCTGGGGGTGCTGAGCCTGGGGGTGCTAAGTCTGGGGGTGCTACGCCTGGGGGTGCTGAGCCAGGGGGTGCTCAGCCTGGGGGTGCTGAGCCTGGGGGTGCTGAGTCTGGGGGTACTACGCTTGGGGGTGCTGAGCCGGGAGGTGCTCCGCGTGGAGGTTCTCCGAGTGCTTCGTCTGGTCGGGAGCCACTCTCTCCACAGGAGCTGCGCGAGTGGTTTGCCCGGCGCTGGCGCCGGACTGCTGGTGCAGGAGGTTCTTCGGCTACTGAGGGTGCTGCTGTTGCGGGTCCCGAAAGTGCTCGTACTGGGAGTACTGGATCTGCTGGGCCTGCAGGTTCGCTTGGAGCTGGTGCTGCTGAGGGCGTTGGCGCTGAGACTACCGCTGGCGGTCCTGCTGGGGGTGCTCCTAGTGCTGCTGGAGGTTATGGAGCTGCTCCAGGTGCTGCTCGAGCGAGTGCCCCTGCTGGGGGTACTGGTGCTGTCCCTGCTGCTTCTGGCGTCGCCACGCGGCCTCGACCGTACTTCGTTCCACTCCTGCAGCAGGTTCTTGGTCTTCCACCTTCTACTGGTCCTCCTCCTCCCTTAGAGTGTCCACAGCCTGTCTCGTCACAGTTACAGTTGCAGCCTACCTCCCCTTTGCCTGCTCCTTCTCCCTACGCTGGTCCTACTGGAGGACTTGCTGAGCGTCGTGAGCCTGCGTCTCGCCCTATGTGGCTTGTCCGTCCTGTTCTCGCTAGTAGTCATGGTTCGCGTCCGTGTCCTCCTCCTGTCCCTTGCACGCACAGGATGTCTCTACGTCTGTCTACTGCTCCTCTGCGTGCCCCTTTGCCTTCTCCTCCTGAGTCCTCTCTTCCTGTTCTTGCCGACCCGAAGTCGGACTCTCTTCGTGCTGCCAGTCCTACTGTCACGCGTCTCCTTGCTACTGTCGTCACTGACCCTTCTTTCGAGTCCACTACTGCGTCTGCCCTAGTTGCTGAGCTCGTCAACTTTGCTGCTCGCTATCGCCTTGACTACACTGCTAGTGTTGTCGCTAAGTCTGAGTCCGTCTGTCCTCCGTCCGTCGGGGGTAAGTGTGCCCTTAGCACGGACGTCCTTGAGGACAGACAGGAGGAGTTCCAGTGTCTGGCAGCTGCTTCACCTCATCTCGTGTCCGTACTGCTTACCCCTGAGGGAGACCCGGATGCACTTGACATCCCAACTCCGCGCTCTTACGCGGAGGCCGTAGAGGGTCCCTACTCCTCTCAGTGGCAGGCAGCTATGGATGCAGAGATGGCTTCCTGGAAGTCCACAAGCACCTACATTGACGCTGTTCCCCCTCCTGGGGCGAACATCGTCAGTGGCATGTGGATCTTCAGGGTGAAGCGGCCGCCGGGTTCTCCGCCTGTCTTTAAGGCGCGCTACGTGGCTCGTGGCTTCAGTCAGTGGCAGGGAGTTGACTACTTTCAGACCTTCTCCCCCACCCCGAAGATGACCACTCTTCGGGTACTGCTGCACGTTGCTGCTCACCGTGACTACGAGCTGCACTCTCTCGACTTCAGCACAGCTTTCTTGCAGGGCAGCCTAAACGAGGAGATCTGGCTGCGCCGCCCACCTGGCTTCACTGGGTCTTTCCCTCCTGGTACCCAGTGGAGTCTCCGGCGTCCAGTCTACGGTCTCCGCTAGGCGCCACGTGAGTGGCACGACACACTGAGGACTACGCTTGCGGCCCTTGGGTTTGCTCCTTCTACTGCCGACCCGTCGCTGTTTCTGCGCACCGACACCTCTCTGACGCCGTTCTACATCCTCTTGTACGTCGACGACTTGGTCTTTGCCACAAGTGACACTGCTGGACTCGCCTACATGAAGTCCGAGCTGCAGAAGAGACACACGTGCACAGACCTGGGTGAACTGCGCAGCTACCTTGGCTTGCAGATCACCCGGGACAGAGCACGCCGCACCATCACCCTGACTCAGTCACACA